GAAGAAGGGAATAGAATCAACATTTACCAATTTATTCAGTAGGTATACCTGTTATTTTACTAATGAATACACATAGCAGTTTGAAAAAAAAAATAGTATTACTTCCTTTTTAAATTACAAAACTTTTCTTATTCTTATTCAAAAATTTTAATAATGCAGATATATATAAATTTTACCACGCCTAAAAGATAGACCAAAAAGGTTATTTATCAATTCCCACACTTTCATTCTATTTTCTTCTCCTCCGGTATGCAATACAATTTCACAATACGCTTCTTCTGCTCTGGGTCTACTCGGATTCGATCAAAATTTATCCTTTACAACTTTATTCATGAAGTAGGTTTTGAAAAACGATGATCCGGATGTGTGGGTTTCGGACAGAACCATGTAGGCTAGCCCAGCCACAGTCACTGTTCTTGTGTTACTTATTGTGGGCAGAAAGAACAGTTTTATTTAATTGGTTGCTCTCGTGTAGAAGCGTATGGCACAAGAATACACATTTTAATGATTTTGGGTTATGTTTTTATTTTACGTACTTACATTGTTTATATTCTTGTTTTAAGATTCAGCCATTTTGAAATCACTTTGTAAAGTGTACAGTGTTATTCATTTATCTTTTAATGGTGAATAGGAAATATGGTAGTTTTTTGTACAATTCCAATATTTTACACTATAAAAGACAATAATACTCAAAAATTGTAACACGTAAATTTAATACAAAATTATATATAAAACAATTTCGACCCATGGACATCATCAGGTCTTCTGAACTTCAGTTTTCACGTTTTAGCGATGTTGTTGCTTACCTGTTATGTTAACATAACGTAATAATGTAATAAGAAATACTGTAAACATCACATAGTGAATTCGGAACGTATTCATTCATATATGTTTATACAATAGTAACATAACCTAAAAAAAAGTGTCACTTTTTCTTGTCGGGTTTTTTAAATCAGAGAATTTATAAATTATTTATTCGATTGAATAGATTTGGTAAGTTTTCTTCATAAAGTAGAAAAACATTTTCTAAATCATTGTCTAATGTTTCAGATTGCAATGCCTAGTCTACATTTATTATTCAATTCATTAGGTACGCCAGACACGTTACAGGAAATAATAGACGGGATTATGCCGAAGACACAAACTCTAAATCATCACTTTGGTGATTACGAAAAGCAGATAGTAGAGACGAATACCTTGGAGAATGGCAGCTGAATTAAATTTAACATTTTTAAATACAGGTAAAGCAACATTCATAAGGGGCGATTCCAGGTCACATATAGACGTGACGTGCACAACTCCAGCAATGACAAAAAAATAGAAAGATGAAAACTGCTTTCAGAAGAGTTTCACACATATCACAGACACACTGTAAACGACATTCAGGATACACCAAAAAGACACTACAGCAACCATAAAATAACAACTTTCGATCAATCGAACAGAATATATAAAATTCAGAAAGAAAACAACCAGACTTAACGCCAGATATGGCAACAGGGATGAGAGATCGATAGAAGCAAAATAAATCTACAACAAATTAAAAAAAGAAATATCATAAACATATCAAAGAAAGCACACTGGAAGAAACTAATAGCAGAACTAAATGAGGACATCTGGGGCGCGAGATACAGAAAAGCAATAAAACCAATCAGCAACTTCAGCACGCCTTATAATCCTACAAAGAACCAGAAGATAGAATGGTGTACAAAATTATTCCCAGGCCAAAACAAATACATTGACTGAAGTATCCAGCAACGAGTTTGAACCACTCACTCCCCGTGAACTAATAGAAGCTACTACTTCTAAGTATAAAACCAAAACGAGCACCAGCAGGGTTATTCTACTAAATTTATAGCCCGGCTACAAGTTGGATTTTGGCTTGAACTTTATATATTCCTACTTCAAAATCCAACTTGTAGCCGGGCTATAAACTTGTAGCCGGGCTATAAACTTGTAGCCGGGCTATAAATTTAGTAGAATAACCCTGCAGGACCTTGTAACATAATGTGAACTAGGCCTAACCATCGAGGTTGGCAACAATGTAAAGACCTGTCAATTATATTACATAAAGAGCGCTATCTTAGGTTCTAAGGTTATGTCAAAAACGCCATTCTTAAATAAAGTTTATTTTACATATTACATGGTGGCAGCGGTGGGATATGAACCCACGCCTCCGAAGAGAAATAAAATTCACCTAAAGAACTACAACGAAAGAGCAGCAGATAAAGAGACAACACTGCAAGGGACAAACAGACAGTCATTCAGAACAACAAAGCGAAGGAAATGAAACCATTGAACAATGCAGAAGAAGTGAACGAGTTAGAAGAGATCCAGCCAAGTTACAAGAATACATATGGGGCCGAAAACCATCACCTATAAAAAAAGGCATGTAACGTGATGTGAACTAGGCCTAACCCTTGAGGTTGGTAACAATGAAAGACTGTCAATTACATTATTGCCAACCTCGATGGTTAGGCCTAGTTCACATTACGTTATAGACCTGATAAAATTCCCCGGAAGCCATAAAGATATTAGTCGAAAAGAAACAGGAGACCATTCTAGATATTTTCAATAAGTTACTCAGAGAGCAACACTTTTCAAAGATCTGGAAAGAGGTTCGAGTTGTGTTAATTTGACTATGACTATATCTCCAAGCTGCTGCCTCATACCTAACGATTTACTTGCTAAGTGTAATGGAGAAGCTGTTCGATAATCTTATAAAGAACAGACTTGGAAAGGAAATAGAAGCGAAGAGATTTCTCACCCAGACAGTACGGGTTCCGGCAATAGAGATCGACCATACAAGCTGTAGAAACAGTAGTGGAAAAAACAAATAGTAAATAAATGATAATAATAACGGTCGATATTAAAAACGCATTCAATACGGCATCTTGGGAAGAGATCATGAAAACACTGGAGGAAAAATAAATCTCACAATACCTACTTAACATCGTAGATGGCTGTCTAAGCCATCGAAGCATAAGTATTGGAAATGATAGCCTACAAGTCAACACGGGTATTACCGCTAAGGTCGGTCCTCGTACCCACATTATGGAATGTACTTTATGACGGAATTTTGAATTTAAAAATGCCCGAAGGCATGACTACAGTGGCTTACGCAGATGACATCGCCATCGTAATAGAAGTGACGGAAACGCTTAATCGCATGTGATAAAGGATTCTCTTTATATGATCGAAAGCTGGAAAAGTATACAACTAACGCTCGCACCAAAACATTCCGAAGCTGTGGAATTCAAAGGCCCACGAAACAGGGATGGAATTCAAATAAGAGTAACGACCAAATATATTACCCCTAAAAAACAACTGAAATACCTTGAAATTGTTTTGGATGACAGAATGAGCTTTGGATCACACATAAAATACACAGGAAAAAGTTGATAAAAAGCTATAGGCCCTAATGAGATTAATGCCAAAGATTGGCGGAACAGGAAGCAGCAAACGCACATTTTTCTTTAACCTTTTAAAAGTTCACCAAAATTAGGTACTACAATACAAATATTTAAGTCAGACCTAGGAGATCTATCTACTCTACTCACCCAGTTTCTCGGTGTTGCAGATTTCGTGCACTGACAAATGTTATCTCTGCCCTTTCTAACCTCTAATTTTTTATTATTTTATTCTTATTTTTTTTTTTAATGGAATATCTCTAACCGTTTCAATATCTCTTCTGCTCTGTTATAATACCTTCTTGTTTTACGATTCAACGTACCTAATTAATCACGAAGCGCAGCTTTAATTAACTCTACTTAAGGTGCGCAAGAAATTTCAAGCCTTTTTCCTTTTCGAAAAACCCGAACTCGTCAAAATCATTAAAATGCCAACAGCAACGAGGAATACATTTCAAGACGATTTGAAAACCAATGAGTAAGTTGTAAGAGCAAATTTTGCAAAAATCGAGGGCGTCCCGTGGCGCAAAGTGTCTATCTGGAATTTTTTCGAATACATAAGATTTCTATAATAGCGGACCACCCACGGTCGCAACTGTTTTGCAATGGAAATGCCCTAGAAGTTCTAAATCAGAGCACGTTTGTTCTCGATCTCACTATGTTTTTCGGTTTAATTTATTTATCTGTAACAAAAAGTTTAAGCCTACAATTAAAAAGTACCGGTCAACAGTAAATAAATAATCTTTAAATATTCCAAAATAAAACATATTAACTATAAAATAAAGACTTGAAGATAATATGATTATTTATCGTATTCTAATATAAATTAAGAAAAAAAATAAAGTTTTTCTTTAATGACACGAGCACATGAGACGCTTTATAGGGCATGCTCGCAGCATGTTTGGTTTTTATTGAAAATATTCCACAAACATATTAATCACAAATCACCATGCATATTGAAAATATTTTTATCTTATTTACACACCTTTTTAGTAAAAACACATTAGAGGAAGTACTAAACGTAAGATCTTTTACATAACCTTAAAATAAAACTGACAAGTGTTGAAAACTTAAAACAGAAGTATGCTAAAATTCACAAATTTTCATAGATTGCGCTATAACAAGTCAAATAACAATGTAAAAAAGAAAACGCTCTGTGCCAATTATCGGCAATCAACAGTGACTAAAAGCTCCATCTCCGCATTACAGTACGTCAATTCTACTGCGCAATATCATACCGTCTTTTTATAATATGCAAAATACCTGCCTGGCAGGTAGCAAGAAGGCACATAGAATACATCTTTATTTGATATGTCAAAAATGGTTTAAGTGTTACTGAATTGTATTTGCTTTTTTGGATTTAATTAAAACACTTTACCTGCAACTAGTTTTATTGTAAGACTCCAGATACAAATATGTAATGTGGCTAGTCTGCTCTCGTTGCCGCTAGTGGCCAGTGAAGCTTGACGTGCCTCACTTGTCATTGTCGACAGTCGACGCAGTTCAGTCAACCTTAAAAACTTAAACCTACTAAGAACGAAACTAAGTTACGCTACAGTTACATTTTCTTAAAATTTATTTTTGTTTCAGGATGTGGTGGTTTGTGCTATCCCTGGTGTGGTGGTGCGGCTCATCAGCCATCCCGTCTACAGGGCCGGACTTGTGGAAGTGTCCTGAAATTGATTCCCAACCTGTAGTAGAATGTAGCTGCGACATGCCCCATACGTTGAGATGTATAGGTGATAAGACAGCCATGAAGATCATAGGTACGTATTTAACCCGTAGCCAGTGAGGTGAACTTTTTGTTCGTTACTACTGAAGTGGAGTCTAGCAGACTCCGGCAATTTAATGGATTTAACAAAGAGAATACAATAAAATATATGCAAAAATAGCAAATATTTATTTATTTAGGACCAAACGTTGACAAATTTTTTTTGGCAAAAATCAAAATGGAACAGGTATAAAAACAATATAAAATATGTTCTTGGATGGTATATATCAATACAATTCTACTGTTAACGTAGGTGGTAACACTAGATCTTGTTTTAAATAATAATTTTCTAATAAAAAATATGCACAAAATAGAAAATCGAAAATTAAACTTTAAAAAGTTTACTTAATAAGTTAAGTTTTGATATAGGTCTAAAATTATTCACCTTGTTTTTATTTCTTGATTTGTGGATTGACACAACGAAAGCCGTTTTCCATTTATCAGGAAACTGTCCTTCGGTTTAAGATTTATTAAATACGAAATATAAAGGGTCAATGAAAGAATTTTTACAATTTTTAATAAAGCATGTAGGAATCTCGTCTGGACCAGGACCTTTATCAGGCAAATTGTCTATTTTTAATGAAATCATTTCACGAGATATTTTATATTGGGTAATATTCAGAGGAGCGCTGTTGAAAATAGCAGAAAAATCACTAGGACCACTTGGCACAAAAACAGACGATAAGAAATCAGAAAAGACGTTATAGATTTCCTGTGGATCTGTAATTAGACCTGTATCGGTTACGAGATTATCGGGTAAAATAAGAGAATTTTTTTGTTTTTAACATATTGAAAAAAAATACTTAGGATTTTCAGTGATATTAGATTCAACCCGATTTAAATATTCTTTGTAATCCTTGTTTATCAAAAATTTTGATCTACCACGTAAAATAGTCCATGTCATTATTATATAATATTATAATAGCTTTAATGGTTGACAAAGAAAACCAAAAAGGATATGCTTTACAATACTTGGGATTCTTGGGAACATGACGGTCCAAAATATTACTAACAACTTCATAAAATACTGTTACTGTTACAAATTGTTTATTCCAGTTAATTGCAGATAGAAGATGATTTATTTCAGTGTAGTTTGTTAATTGAAGTTTTTTTCATAATGATTATGTACCTTCGTTTTCGTTACATTACAGTATTTAATATCAAGTTTTAGAGTATTATGTGATGGATCCTTAGCAACCAGTGGTAAAGTAGACACTACATATACCAACGATCTATACCAAGATTCATAGTTGTTGGCCGTCATTTGAAAGCAATATAACGTTGAAAAGTTATAAATATCTTATCTGTTAAGTTTGGGAATACACAGGATATAATCGAGGTTCCTTGATAGTTTGAAACATTAGAATATTTCCAAATTTGGGAAAGGTATTTTTAAAAAAATTTAAATAGAGGATTAGAAAGTGAGGAATGAATTTTTTTAAGAAAATGAGAGGCATTCCTGTCGGACAGGTATCTAAATGAAGAAAGTGAGGGCCGATTTTTCTTTAAATTTCACGACATTTTTGATAGGTCGAATAGAATGGCTTGACATTTGTCAGTTCTTGCATCGGCGGTATCACCGGATCTTACTTTTGCGAAAAAGATGAAAATGCTACGATTACAGCCAATGCGGATTCTACCGTAGAATGCTGACTTTATTTGGTCTATATTGAACAAATTGGCTTCCAGATCGTGCGATTTAACCCCGCTAGACTTTTTTTAGAACTTTTAGTCTATGCTAATGCCCCGCACACAATTCTAACCCTCAAAGAGCTGTTATTCGCCAGATAAAGCCTCAGTTATTCTAAAATGTCATGCAAAACTTCCTCAAAAGAATGATCATTTTCAGATAGTTTACTGGATATCATTTTCCACAAGTAATGGTAGAATTTGTACTTTGAATTTAAATAAATATTTTTGTACCACTTGAGAACAAATGAATTATTATTAATTAAACTAAGACTTCTGATTTAAAAAACTTTCGTAATAAGGTTTAACTCCTGCATTTAAACCGCAGGAACATACATAAATACAATATTGCGGTTTATAAGTAGTACTTGGTATATTTTATTACAACAGCACTAAGTTTCTAGTTGTAATAATTTCCAATGCTTTTAACTTTTATCGTAATCGTTTATACTTCTGAATCTGGAAGCAGTTTTCAATAAAAAAAAGTAAATCGATATGGAGCAGGAATCGGAAATATAAATGGAATATAAACGTTCAAATATTTACTCATTTGTGTTCCTTGCTAGTTCGAATGTTTTTTTGTGCAATTCCAATTTATCGGTTTATTCAAGAATATATCGGAATTATTATCAGTATTTGAGAAAATCCGAACCAATCCTTATTGTGTAGATAGAGAATTCGGGCAAATACAGGATGTCACAGATTTTTGATCTCGATAGATTACGTTTTTATGGATATAAGTGGAGGTTTATTAATTTAGAATCCATATAGAATACAAATAAATAAATCGAAGACATTTAGAAGATATAGGTTACACATACAACTTTGTAAATGACTGGTTCAGGGGAAAAACAAGCTGTTGATTCCCATGATATATGCCTAGTAAAAATGTACAAATCGCGAAAGAATATGATAACCACCAGACGTTATTTTTCTCTTACGTAAAATTAGCAAAAAGGTGCTTAAGTTTTTCCCATGGACCCTTCAAATGTAATAATTGCTTGCTCTTAAAATTTGTTCTACTTTCTATGTCACTCAATGATTTTAACGCAAATCTTGGAGTACGATTAAATACTTTAGTGATCTAGGTTTGTCTTGATTTCCCCAAATCATATTTAGCATAATTGGTAATTCTTATTGGTAATTCTTATAGACCAAAGCTGTCCTACAAAATATGATAAGAAAATTAAATAGCGAGGTTTTGTAACTGGACAACCCTGAAAGGACTGAGATGGAATAATTTTAATCAGACTCTCATGCAGCATTCAGTACCTTTCTGTTTTAGGTAGAATTCTAGACTAAACATATTTAGTGTAACGATATTGTTTTTTTATTAATTTTAAAAAGTTGCCTCTTACAAATAAAATAATGAATTCCAAACCAAGTACTTCCAGACAAGCTATCAGTGTTTTGCATAATAATTTTTAGAAAACTGTTTGTGATTGGTATGATCAAATAGATAGTGATTTCGGTGAGGATGAAGCAGATTCTGATGACTACATTGTCATTGAGTACGATACAAATTTTGAATAATCAGATAGTGGAGATGAAGACCTAAACTACTGATTAACCGATATATTATAAGATATTATATGATCTTATTTCTTAAGAAATAGAAATATGACTATCGAGGGACACTCATCAGGCGAATATTAAACGTGGAAGTGTGTATCGAAAAAGGGGAATAAGACCCATTTGTAGTGTTATCTATATGGCTTTTAAGTAGTAGGTGAGACTCTTTTATTTTCCAGTAACCTCTGCTTTAATATTTCAACATTAACATATTTTTTATTTTTATTAGGGACACAGATAAGAAAAAGTGTCCACCAGATTATACAATAATATAGTACAAAGTTATACAATAATCATATCATTTACAATAATACCTACTCAAAAATAAATACTAAAAACTATCAACAAGAGAGATAAGATATTTATGACTTTTCAAGTTGAAAATTTCAACGTTATATTGCTTTCAAATGACGGCCAACAACTACGAATCTTGCTGCAATTTTTAAATGTAGCAGGTATCATATATATATATATATATATATATATATATATATATATATATATATATATATATATATATATATATATATATATATATATATATATATATATATATATATATATATATAGGTAATCGTACGTTGAGGCGCCAAAAACGCATTTATATGGACGAAGTGGCACCTATATTTACGTTGTTGCACCATTGCAAGGTGCTAGAACGTTTTATTGCATATTTGGCCTTTTTAACACCTTACTAACCCCCCTACCAAATTTCAGAAAGGTGCCTTTTCGACCATTTTTCTATAAAAACACGATTTTAGTTGAACCGTATACTCCCCAGAGGTCAGGCCGGTCGCTCACAACGCTCAGACGTTTACGACGTAGTGGCACCTCGCGAGTAAAAATACTTCCTTACTTTGTGGCACCTCACTTTGTATATATTTTCTTACTTCGTGGCACCCCAGTTTGTTTTCGTAAGTGAACGTAAGAGCACCTTAGGTCCTTTGGTGAAAATATATGTCGACGAACGAAAGAATATTATAATATGTATGATTCAATTCCAAATTTGACAATATAAATTTACTTTTAGAGTGATAAAATTAATTAATATTAATAAATTAAAATAAATTAAAATAAATTAAAATAAATTAAAATAAATTAAAATAAATTAAAATAAATTAAAATAAATTAAAATAAATTAAAATAAATTAAAATAAATTAAAATAAATTAAAATAAATTAAAATAAATTAAAATAAATTAAAATAAATTAAAATAAATTAAAATAAATTAAAATAAATTAAAATAAATTAAAATAAATTAAAATAAATTAAAATAAATTAAAATAAATTAAAATAAATTAAAATAAATTAAAATAAATTAAAATAAATTAAAATAAATTAAAATAAATTAAAATAAATTAAAATAAATTAAAATAAATTAAAATAAATTAAAATAAATTAAAATAAATTAAAATAAATTAAAATAAATTAAAATAAATTAAAATAAATTAAAATAAATTAAAATAAATTAAAATAAATTAAAATAAATTAAAATAAATTAAAATAAATTAAAATAAATTAAAATAAATTAAAATAAATTAAAATAAATTAAAATAAATTAAAATAAATTAAAATAAATTAAAATAAATTAAAATAAATTAAAATAAATTAAAATAAATTAAAATAAATTAAAATAAATTAAAATAAATTAAAATAAATTAAAATAAATTAAAATAAATTAAAATAAATTAAAATAAATTAAAATAAATTAAAATAAATTAAAATAAATTAAAATAAATTAAAATAAATTAAAATAAATTAAAATAAATTAAAATAAATTAAAATAAATTAAAATAAATTAAAATAAATTAAAATAAATTAAAATAAATTAAAATAAATTAAAATAAATTAAAATAAATTAAAATAAATTAAAATAAATTAAAATAAATTAAAATAAATTAAAATAAATTAAAATAAATTAAAATAAATTAAAATAAATTAAAATAATGTAAAAAATAAAATAAATTATTTTTATGTTTTGCAATAAAGTAAAATGAAAACTAGTTATCATTTTTTTAATATTTATTTTGTTTAATTATCTTAGAATTAACAAGTATTATAATAATACTTTCCCTAATTCAATATCGCGAGTAAATTTCCTAAAGCCGACTAAGCCTGTGTGGGGAAGGGACGGCTATTATTTTTATGGCGCTGAATGACTCAGTGACTTAAAGATGATTTATAGAGCTATTTGACTTAAAGTTGAAGAAAACCCGAAAAACCTCAAGCATTATCATCAAAGCGGTAAGGCATGGCGAATTTGTAATATGGATGTCATATTAATAGAAATTAAATTACTGCAAATACGGCACACACCAAATTCTATAACGAACCATGCAAATTAATTAAAAATTCACCTGATTTGCCGTAGGATTCTAAGCCGTTTGTCTCTCAACCACAAAATTGCTTACAAGTGAATATAAACGCCTTAGACAACTACGCTACCGAGCCAACTATGTTGTTTTTGTATTACTTAAACTGATATAGCGTATTACATTACAAGTATGAAAATTGAAATTTTTTACTCGAGTGGGACACAAGTGTATAAAATCACTTTTATACAAGGGATGTACAATATTTTTCCTACGACTACAAATTCATTTTATAAAAAAAAAGTTTAAAATCAGGAAATCTGGCTATAAAGTTCAATTAAAATGTGGCTGGTCTTTTTTATATGCCTTAATAAATAATTTTTATAGCGTTTTACCTATTGTGTTTTGTCGTAATTAAAACTTAACTTCATTTATAATCACTTTCATAGGATAATAACGGTGAAATCACATTAGGTATAAATAATAATAATAATAATAATACTCTCCCTAATTCACCCCCTTACGAGTAAATTTTAAACCCAAAAGCTGAGCTTGTGCGGGGAAAGGGACGCCTATTATTATTATTTGCCCTGGCGTTCCGAGGCGACTTAAAGATGATTGTAGTGCCATTTGACTTACAGGTGAGAAAAAATAAAATATTAGTTCATTTTTTTTTCAAAAACATATAATAAGATGAACAGTCGTGAACAAGAACTTTCTTGTAATTCTACTTTAAATTTTTTGCTGAACAATTATTAAAATAGTACAAAATAAATAGCAAAAAGAAAAGCTCGGCCATAAGATTAATAAAAAGTACCTATTTAAAATAAATAACAAAACTCGTATTTTTAATTTTCATATTTTAAAAAAGCTTCAGTTTTGTCGCGATATGGTCGAAACATGCAAAGTTAATAAAATTGAGCGCTCTATGAACTGAGCTAACAAGCTTGTCGCATAAATTATCCAATCAAATATATAAACAAAAAAAAAATAATATTACCTTAAAATTGTTTTAACAATTTGTTAAAAATAATTATCTAGAATCTAGGTATAGAAATAAATATTCACGATTTAAATTTACTATCTTGTGGCATCATAAAACTGCATATTATGCGTTAGTTGACTCTCATTCACGTTATGCTGTTCAGTTTTGGGGAGTCTGTTCTGCCGAATTATTTGGTAGAGTCCTTATAATGCAGAAACGGGCAATAAGGTTCTTATGTGGAGCACACAGATTAGTTTCATGTAGACCGCTGTTCTTAAAACAAGAAATATTAACATTACCTTCTTTATTTTTCTTAGAAACTTGTTGCATGCTCCATAAGAACAAGTCGAAATATAAATCAAATATATCTCGTGTAACTCGCCAAACGGGTAACTTGAAGTTGCCTATTCCCAAAACTGAACTCTTTGCCAATTACGGAAGCATCTCCATATCATGGGGCTGTCAGGATCCCTACTCTGCAGAGGGCGCGAGCAAGAAGATAAGACCGTCGAGCATATTCTTTACGATTGCTTGACGCTCTCATTTATTAGAAGATTTGTGTTCGGCGAGTATCGGCTAACCCGGCCGATATAAGAGAAGCACCTCTTGGCGAAGTTGTCAACTATATTAAATCTGTAGGCTGGCTCACGAGCTAGGAGGTGCCTTTCATCTTAGGAGGATGCACAATGGACCTAATAAGGCCTAAGTGCTGTGGAGGTAACCCACTCTCCACAAGTTACAGATTACAGATGCCTTTAACGTTTGTACATTGTATTTGTTTTGTTAAAATAAATGTATAAATATAACAGTAGCTATCATTAATTCATATCAAACTAAACTACGATTTTTAGATGTTTACATACTTATGTATATCACTGGCAATTTCCACTATTCCAGTATCGGTTCTTTAGTTTAAATTTCTTTAAATTGAAACCATACATTTTTAAGATTGATTGCAAAAAAAATGCTCAATATCAACGGTGACACACGGTATAGAAGTCACCCAGACTAAACTTATCACATACCAAAATCCTGAAATTTGGCTTGGAAGCCAACGTGTTAAAAGCAAACGTCACACCATCAAGATCTACTCATTCTCAAGCTAACAAATTTGTTTTTCGTCAACTTTTTTCCTTTTCTCCTTTTTGATTTTATATGGGGTTTCAAGTTGTTTTTGACTTATTTCGACGTAAATCACAACAACACACTTTTTTAATAAAGCAAACAAGTGTTAAGAGGTATATGTACGTGTAAACTACAATTACAAAAAATTGATATGAAACCCATGAAACCACCAACAAAAATGTAAAGCTAGCTTCCGTACTAGAACATGGTGTCATTCGTCGAGATAATTTATCGTTTTGTTTAATAGATCAAGAAATGTAAATATTCCCCTGTTATTTTTTATAAAATTATAAGAGAAATAAATTTTTTTCTAAATAGTATAGTTTATTATTTTGCAGAAAAACAAAATTTCGAAAATTTTAGTAATGTTTCAGAAACAACCGTTATTAATAATAGGTACCATTTTCCTCAATAAGGTAGAAATAAAATATAAACTATTTCCACGATTTACAAAGGCCTACAAAAAAATTATAGGTATTTTCCGCTATCCTATAAAATTTATATTTTCTGACTCAATTTCAAAAGGTTGAAGGAATTCCAAAACACCTTTTATGGCATAATAATTATTTTCAATTCTACATACTATCTTTAGCTGCTTTTAAAAACGTTCTAAGAAAGTCCAATCAGACCAATTTAATCCCTAAACTATTCCACACTTTTAAAATTTAATTACCTAAAAATATTAAAAACTATTTAAAATAACTTGTTTAGCAGACTGTACAATAGCTATCTTAGTCACACGTAGCGCGTTCTCTGTCTGGGCGTCGAACACCTCTAGAAATTTGATGAACTGTATATATCGTTTGTATCTGTAGTGTTTGGTAAACGTTAAATAAATAAAAAAAATTCATCACTTTATTGTCCATCTTTACCCTTGTTGAAGACAGAACCTCCACCACTATTTCTGTTATAAGTAACTTTTGGTTATTTTCAGTTGGTAACAGTGATTCGCCAACGTTCCTGTGGATTTAGTTTTGCCAAGTCAGCAGTTGTGAGAATGTGGTTTAAAAATCGAACAAGACAAAGTATTTTTAATTGATATATTTTTATAGCAAGACAAATTATTTTTAATTAATATATTTGTATAGCCCTCTAGTTTTGACATCTCATTGTAAATTGTGTATATAATTTTTACCTTGTTCTATTGTAAATAAAAGTTAAAAGTAAAGTGCATCGCATCCTTTACACGCCGTTTTATCAACTACCAGCGAAGCTCCTAAAAAATACAGTCCACTTTTTTCCTAAATGTTTCTCACACTATATAAAAAATCAACCATTAGTAATTTATTAATCAAAGTTTGCATTTACAGGTCAAACGTTAAGAGCCAAAGCATCAGATTCGGTATCACTCCTAGACTGCACGATCCAGAACGTAACATCGATCACCGAACCAATTCTGGAGGGAATAGCCCTCCACGGACTGGTTATTTCTTCGGGAGAACTGCGAAAAATCGACAAGCGAGCCTTCGAGAAACTAGCCTCGCCGCTGCAAGCCTTAGGACTGCCGAACAACCAACTGTCGAATGTACCGACGATTGCATTACAATCGCTTCCAGAACTGGACAGGCTGGATCTTTCTGGGAATAAGCTGGAACATTTGGACATGAGTTCCTTTGAGGTAAAAACCGCTAATTAATATATCTACTAGTATTTACAGAATCTTTTATGTTTTAGGGTTTACGAAATCTATCATTCATAGATTTGAGCGATAACCTCGTCACAAGAATAACGCCAGACGCCTTCGATGACTTACCTCAACTCAGAATCCTTCGACTTAGAGCCAACCAAATAACAATATCAACAATCGCAAGACTGAATCCTCTACCAACTATAGAAGATCTGGATTTATCCGAAAATGCTTTAATAGGCCCACTAGGGCCGGGCACTTTCTCCAAAATGACATATTTGAAGGATCTGCAACTATCGCACAATGCCTTGAGTAGCATCAAAATGGGTTCATTGCAAGGATTAACCAGTTTAACGTCTCTTAGATTGCAACATAACCAAATAGACGTCATTGAAGACCACGCGTTCAGCCATTTAACATCTTTGCAGACTCTGGAGTTGGCACACAACAGAATTGTAGCGGTATCCGGTGCATCTTTAGCGCATTTACAGAAATTAATGATTTTAGATTTGCGACACAACTTTTTGAGAGCTTTAACGGCAGATCTTATCCAACCATTGAGGAGTTTAAAGACTTTGAAATTGGACGAGAATGATATATCTATTGTAGCTAGTGATGCTTTTAAACCTACAACAGAACTACAACACTTTACACTATCAGAAAATCCTTTAAATTGCGATTGTAGCTTAAGTGAATTTGCGCAATGGTTAACGAATTCTAGTCTTAGTAAGGAAGATAAATCTACAGCTGTGTGTACCACTCCTCCACATTTGGAAAATGGTTTGCTCATTGAAATGCCCACATACAATTTAATTTGTGGTGATGAAGATGATACTATAGTTGCGCCTTTATCTTCACCTTTTAAAGCAAGAATTAATCTAAAAGATTTCGACTATGACGGTGATGAGATAAAGTTATCTTGGAGTATTGAAGATGATTTCACCTCTTATACATGCGACGCTATTTTTATTTACGAAGAGGAAGGTCCCAACGAAGTTTTGGTGGAATCTAATCCAGTAAAATGCAATTCTTCTGAGTTAGTGGACCCAAAAACGTTGTACGTTACAATTCCTGATGTAGTACAGCTGCAGCAAGACCACAGTTACAGGTACTGCATTGTGTTACTCGAAGCGATACAAGCTGATGATGTTTCTTTGATATTAGGCTGTTCGGATATATTGCCTTTGATTAAAAACGTTAAAATCCAACCAAGTACTATTAACTACGTTGTGAAAACGCCTAAAATTATATCGGTTCTAGCAAACTTAACGTCTTCTGGAGTATTATCCATAGACGTGAATGTGTATCCGATTGCTAATTGTGAATTAAACGTGGCGATTTTAGAACAAAGTGCTTTATTATCGCAAAGAACAATAAACTGCAGTAACCCCAAGTACAGTTTCTTGGGGTTGAACACTGGACCTTACAGGGTCTGCGCTAACGTTGTATCTTCTAGTCCTTCTATAGATATTAACAAATCAAAATGTGTGACGGTGTTTAGAGCCGCCGCCAGCGGGTTTACCAATCTCGACGTAGCTTTCGTGTCAATATTTTTGGTTTTGTGCGTGATGGTTATCGGTTTGGTTTGGGGCGTAAAGAAAATTTTAATGAGACCTAAAATGCAGACGCATCAGTGCTTTTTGCCGCCTGATTGCGACGATCATGTCCAACATAATCGGTATGTTAAGCTGCAAGCTACTACTAAGCTTTAAAATTGTTATGTTTTGTTTAAATGTGCCATAATAAATTCTATTTTTTTTTTGTTTTTTGTTAAATTTAATCTCGGGAATTTCAGATAAAGAGCGATGTGCTAATGTCGATGAAAAAACGTTTTTTCTTAAGCAGAGTTTTAAATTATCCAATGTAGTCACTTTTTGGCAGATTCTAGGAGAAATTAGACATATTCTTTGTAGTTTTTAACCAATTTTACTTTAATTAGTATGCTACAGAATATACACTAATAAAGAAGACTCTCTAATTTAGGGATTAGTTTTCCTAGTGTATTAACTGACAGAAACTTCAACTGTCATTCAAATTTTGACCATAGCGACATCAAAGGTGCCTACATAAGCCTTCGCTTCTGTATCAGTGTATATTCTGTAGAATTACTGAGTAAATAACAAATAATTTTGTTTTTGATCGAAAAAACAAGGTTTAGTTGCTTAAAGCAGAAGAAAATGGTTAAGGTACACGGAAAAAAGAATTAAAAATAGTAGGAGTTTGTATTTATTAATGTAAATGCAGAGTTGACGTTTTGAGGGCCCGATTTTAATAATACGATGATCAACTGATGCCAACTGAAAAGAAATTAATATTAATTTGCAATTTCAGTAGAATATTCTATACAAAACAGTGTATATTATTGAACTTCTTGACACCTAAGACAATTGACAACTTCAATATTGTTAAATTAATGTGACAAATTACTGAACAGTAAAAAGTTAACCTCGTTCTGAGCCAACGACTATTACTCGTTGATCTTGACCAACGTTGCAACGCAATATTATTCATGAGTGCAAAATCCTATTATTTATGTCAAATTTAGAGGAAAATGTACTAAACAAAATTTCCAAGTTTATTTTATATTGAATGTGTAAAAATATAGAATTTGTATATGTAAATAGATATAGTAAAAACATGTCAATTGCAAATTATGCCTAAATCAAATCATGATTGAGGTCTAAGAAAAGCGGTGCTAAATTGTTTTCTATATATGTTACTTATTGCATAGAGCTAATTTCCATTTAAAAAAATCATTTCCTACAAACTTTTTCTAAATTTGGTAATCTATAAGATTTAAGTCTGGTAAACTTTGAGGTTGGTTTGTTTATGATAGAGAACAGTTCGTTTTTGGAAATATTTTATATTTACACGCACCTATGTACCTATATTGTGTTATTATGTAAATAATTATTATTTTTGAATTAACGTTTACTGATAATAGTATTAAAATCATGTTTATATTAATATTTAATTAATTCCGACTGATTTTTCGAATGTAGATATTATATACTTACTTTCTTATATACATGTTTACACTTACTAATGCTTGTTTTATTTTGTTAAAATTGTTATTGGTATTCCGCACTACCCTGTGCCTGTGAAAAATAAAAAGTACCTGCTTGATTGAAACAGATTTTTATTTATCCAATCATTTTTATTGCTAGATTGAAAAAAATATTCAGTCAACTTATTGAAAGATTCTTATCAGAAATCTCTATATGCATTGCTATTGATGGCTACTCCTCTGCGCGTTCCACGGAGTACCTCAAAGCTTAGTTCTTTTGTTCCTACTCTATTCCACTTACCTATTAAGCACGTTTTATGAAAAAGAAGGTAAAAAATGTATAATTCATTCTCTCGGTTGGAAGAGGGACGCTATAAGCTTTTGTAGAACCTCTTTAGACGCACTGGAGGGATCTGAGGGGATAGTGGTAGGTATCTACAGGCATTTGCCTTTTGCTAAGAGAAACCCTCTTAAAAAAGTAGGTCAGACGGCAGTGGAGATCAAACCCACTACATCCAGACTCGTCTATACTCAGCTTTATAATATTATATTGTATATATGTAAACAATTTTGTCATTAAAGTTATGTATCCCACTGATTAGGCAACCAACATAACGTTAGTAAATAGATGTTGTTACCCACAGATAGCGTTAATAAGCCGAAAAGTTTGACGTCAGTGAGCAAAAAAAATATTTTGCAGTATTTGATTAAAAAAATCTTTTTTTCGATTGAAAACATATGGAAAACTTTTGTATTATTGGTTTGGTGAAAAAATGTATTCCCGATAAAAAGTTCTGCATGGTCCAAAACTTAAAATGCAACCATCAGATATCAATGTTTTAAGCTGTAGGTATACGAGGTTTGCCAAAAAATATGAATTTTACTTAAGAGTAAAGTACCTTTATGTTTTACAATACAGAAGAATGTTATGAAGTTATTTAGCATTAAAATTTAGGTCTGGTGATTAATTAATTTGTAACTGCAAATAATTTATAATGTAAAACGTAAATAATCACCTAACCTGAATTTTTAAGCTTACCCTGCTGAGTGCCGTAGGTACTTCATTCTATAGAGTTTTCCCCTGATGCCGTAGGTCACTCAAGTGATCAAATCCAACGTGTTAAAATGAATAAAACTATTTCTGATTCTATGAGGGTACGATCTGGAGTTCCTCATGGATCTAGATTACAACCTGTACTATTTACTCTATAGTCTATACTAAAAATATCGGAACAGTCTTAAAATCTAGCAAGGTTCGCCTATATACCGACGATACACAAATGTATATTATACATGCCACTGACCTTATCAACCAAGATATCAAAAATTTAGATATGTGGGCAAAAACACATGCACTTCGCATTAATAAAAAAAAAACGAATGTTCTTGTCCTGCACAATATGGAAATTGCCGAAAAATCATGTCTGAGAACAATAACAAAGCTCCGTCACCCCAACAATCCACTGCATAAACCATCCAATCAGTTGCTATATGAATCAAAATTACACCTATTTAACAAAGGGTAAACGAGCTGGTCATTAAAATAACAGGAAGGCCAAATGCAGAACTGCTGAGCCAGATAAGAACCCCAACATCGCATCAAAAAGGAAGTACCCTCAGAAGCCACTGTGGGATAAAATAAAATACTTTAATTTTTTTTTATATATTATACCTACACTGTTATCTATTAAACCTACTTATTAAAAAAAAATATGTAACTATTAAATGTTAACATGGGGTAAAAAGGCTTCAGTCAATAGCACTTTGGGGTTATCCCCAATACTTCTAAAACATTATTGGATATTTACTATTTTTCAGCGTTTAGAATAAATCATAAGTTGTGTGTAGAGCATTAAACAGTTATAATTACATGCAGTGACGTAGCCAGCCATTTTTCATGGGAGGGGTTTCTAAGAACTATGGGGGGGGGGTTTAATCAATAAAGTGAATAAAAACATTCAATAGCGATCAGTGCTAATACTATAGCGTAAATTGGAACGCGAAGACCCTCCATGGAAGTAGGGGGGTTTTGACCTCCAAAACCGCCCGTGGCTACGCCACTGATAACATGAAATATTCCTATTTTTTATGTTTATAAAGGTTTTAGAGATATTTTTTTGGGAAATGTTAATATTATTATACCTTTAAATAAACCATTACAGTCAATTTATGATTACGATAACTCAAAGCAGAAATCCAGAAAACTTCTGAAAATATGTTTAACTATATTTTCTACTAGAACAAGGACAGCTTCATTATTTTGTACATTATTGAAAAAAAATACTCACCTTATATAAAAACTATGCTGCTTTCTTTTCATTCCACTAACGGCATTATTCGATCCATATCCAGGCATTTTCTTACACTCAGGAAATCTTCTGTTCCCGGCGACGTCAGTTCATTCCAACATCAACAATCATTATATCATTCCCTACCTCTAATAACAGCTCCTAGATACTCTTACAATTTATTAACATTCCAAAATCAAACACTTTAGTGTCATATAACAGAAGAAATAACAAGAATTTTAAGTTTATATCTGTGATTGATTCAAGTAAGCTTAATAATTATACGAGATATCACCGAGCAGTATTGCTGCAGCCTTGTCTATTTAATCCAAGAATTTATATCAGAAATTAATTATAGAGCTAACACATTTTAGAATTAAATTCAAAATAATATAACCCTTAATAAATAATTTCAAAAGACATAAATAACGTGAATCAAATATCTTTATTGTCAGAGAGAAAGGGAATGATTCCAAACAAAATCAATGATGTAAATATAAAAACATCGAGCTTCTATAATAACATCAATGATGCAAAACACTCGAAAAACTAGCTAAAATTTAAGTTTATTTTTAATGATTGATCGTTTAAAAAATATTTATTTTTTTTTTTTATTTTACGAATTAACCTAGGCACTTTTTTATTTAATGAAACGTTTTTGAAAATAAAATGTTTTTTACATAGAAAAAAAAATAAAAACCAACCTAGAGGTCTATCAACATTTTTAAAATCGATTGAAAGCAAAAAATATGATTTTAGCTGAAGAATAAAGTAACTCTATATTTATTTATAAATTATTAAATTAATTTATCAAAATCTGAAATGATTATATGCATAATTTTTTTTACAACGCAATTAACCTCAAGTTTTTAAATTATCTGTGCAAAAAAACGATTTTTAAATAGATCCTACAACGTACCTAGAATACCGACTTTTATTCCTTGACCAAAAGTACCCACATAAAGTAAAATGACCAATGGGTGACACCCCAAGTTGTTCATACTAATAGATGACACGCATCGGTTCTCTTGAATGTTAAAAAAACACGTGGTTTTTACTTTTTTCTTAATCAGTTTACTAAGAAGGCAAGTGGCAAAATATTTTAAGTAAAGTCTTTATTATATTTCTAGAACATTTTTCTTTACTGTAGATGTGAGATATATGATAGTATTTTGTTTTGCTAATGATTTTAAAGTAGTTACCATGCAGAAAACTCTTCAGCGTCGATGTCAGCCATTGGTCTGGCAAGTTGCTTTAAACCAAAGGCTGACACTTGGGTCATGCATTGGATTTAGTAAGTTTTTTTAGTTTAGATATATGTTATATCATTGTTATACGTTGGGAACGTGTACTGTGCAAATAGGTATTTGTTGTAACACAATTAAACAATAGGAACCAATAGATGATATAGGGTGTCATCTTATGGATATTCTGGGTGTCAGGTATTAGCGAGGGTGTAAGATTGTAATTTCATGCCTCTTAACCTTTTTTTAGATGCCAGGACAAGACAAAAAAATTCTGAAATACACTCCAGAAGCAATGCTTGATGCTTTAAATGAGGTTGGGGCAGCAAAATCTGTTAAATCGGTGTGGTTAAAAAATATAAAATATCCAGAACTACTTTAATAGGAAAAATAATGAGACCAAAAAGTATTTTTGCCCCTGAGCAAAAATAAATTCTGGTAGATTGGGTATTAAAAATTGCAAAAGCTGGTTTTCCAGTAACAAAAAATAGTTTTATGATAACTGTTTCAATGTTGGTACAGAAACTAGATTTAGAAAAAGCTCCAGGCGCCAAGTGGTATAAATTGTTTCCAGCAAAATATAATATAATAGCAGATAGCAGGATTTATCAGACGTTAACCCGATCTAAGGCAAATGTAACCAAAGAAAATTTAATTTCGTGGTTCAATGAAGTATGGGGCTATATAGAAGAAAACAGATTGGTAGAAGTCATGAGTGATCCAACAAGGGTCTTTAACGCTGATGAAACAGCATTTTATCTGAATCCCAAGGGTGGAAAAGTCTGTTTACCTTGCTGGTGCAAATGACCGCTGGCCAGATCGCACCTCCTATGATTGTCTACCGGGATAAAAAATTCCACTACAAATTGCACAAGCTGTGCCAGAAGACTGGGCAATAGGTAGATCAGAAAAAGGGTGGATGACCCAAAAACTTTTTGATGAATACATTGTAAATATTTTTTTTCCATGGCTTCACCAAAAAAAAGATCCAGCTACCTGTAGTCTACTTTGTCTACGGACATGGATCACACATTTCCCTGCACTTATCAAATTTTGGTATTGAACATGGGATTGAGTTGATTGCATTGTACCCTAATGCAACACATTTGATACAGCCCATGGACGTAGCTGTTTTTCACAGTATTAAATCAGAATGGAAGAAGAATGGGAGAAGAACTAAAAAAGAAAAACTTTCCTCCGCTTCTTCACAACACCATTCAAAATATCGAGCCTTCAATAATATCAAATGGTTTCAGAAAATGTGGGCTAGTCCCTTGGAATCCTGATGCTGTGACAATTCTATTAATCAATGCACCAAATCCTAAATTTACTACAAATCCAAATTTGGATGACATTAAAACATTTTTAGTTTTCCTGGAAAATGAATTAGGACACGTAAAATTACTGGAATTTAAACAAAATACTGGAAAATGGGAAAGAGCCAAAGGATGATACATCCCTTTACAAGATTTGGAAGAAAAATAGCACTCTGGTTAAAAAACAGATAACATTTAAAAAAATACTTATGTGGAAATTATTTTCATAATCCTAATTACTTTTTAGGCTTTACCACAGGATAGAGATGAAAAAGAGGAT